TAACTAAATCCCTCTTCTGCTGAAAAAAAACAAACAAAACAGATGTCAGAGTGTTAAGTCTCTTTCAATTGAGCAGGTGCTATATAAATTAAGACAGAGTGAGCAGAGGAAGCAGGTATTACTCTATCTTCTTACCCTTAACCAGTGGAACTCTCTATCTAAAAAGGAAAAATCAAAAATGGAAGTCAACCAGAAAAAATACCAAAAAACAAGTGCTAAGACTTATTCAAATGGCAAACGAAATAAAATCTCATAAGGGGAAGTTTGTGTCTTGCCCTCAATTTCATGTTAAGACTCTTGTCCATACCCAACTTCCGATCAAGTGAGAACAGAAAAAAAATGCAAAAGTGCAACAAATGCAGCTTGTGTCTTACCACTTTGGTTATTGTTGGTCGCTTGCCATTGTGTGACAGGCCTTTGTCTGTCTATCTTTTCCCCCTTTCTGCCCCCCCCCCTTTCTCTCCCTGCTAAAGATAAAAACTGATACAAGAGTAGTCAGTCCAAAAAGAATTCAAGAACATGATAGATTGAAAACATACTCAAAGTACATATTAAGAAAGATGGACAATAACAAAGGGAAAGTGCAAATCGTTAGTAATGTTATAAAGGAGTAGAGAGAGATGTGGCACAGAAATACATGCTAAATTAAGAAACAATTCAGCTCACCTCATGTTTGGTTTTTAAGACAAAAACCAAACCTTTTCCTTGGTTCCTGGTTGCTAAGAATCCCTAAGTCCAGCTGCTTCGGTGGGACCTGCTGTCAATGGAAAGTCAAGAGGTCAAAATTAGATTTTGTAAAAACATGTTAAAAAGTATAAGCCAATTATTAAGGCATGAGACTGCCAATCTTACTACGTTTCTAGTCGTGCAGTAGTTGACTGACAGGCTCTTTTTTTATTGTTAGATAAAGGAAAGCCAAATCTTCTTTCTGCCATGATAGAGTGAGCAAGGACTAAAATTATTTTCTCACCTTAACCTGTATGACTGGTTGTAGTTGACCTCACCCATCTGGACTCCCGTTCTGGCGAACATGCTGCTTTTCAAGTTTGAATGGCGTCCATGATTCTAAATCTCCGCCTGAAAAGAAATGAAGGTCAATGAAAAGGATACTAAGTTTTCATCAGAGGACAAAGAGAATTTATACATAAGCTGAACTTGGATTAAGTATTTTTGCTAATTTCAGCGTGAGTACATGTATTTGGTTTAGTTGTTAAATTGACCTGTTTTACATAGCAATGAAAGCCTGTATTGTTACTTTCAATTTGTATTCTTATATCTAACGGTTGTGATTGACATACAGGTAACAACGTAAGAAGGTCACACATACATAGTATAAATTTAGTTAATTGTAATATTGATTTGAAACTTCGGACAGAACTCGGTTCTTATGTTGGCTCATATACATTTACAGACTAATACCCATTCTCTGCCATGGGCTACTAGTATGAATGTTCGCCTAACTTTTCTTTTAAACTCATTACCAAATATGTCCCCCTTTCCATTACCGTAAATTTCCCTTAAAAAACTTTTTTATTAGAGATACATACACAAGAAAAGTCTACTTTAACGTGTAGTTCGCATCTCATGAATCATTGTAAAGGACTGTCCAGCATGAAATTAAAACTAAATTCAGTTCATGGTACACCGGAAGTTGGGGCTTTTTATGTTTTTAAATGTGTGTGTAGCAGTGTGCTTTTAATTTGTACATAATATAAATAAAATTTGAATAAATGATGATATAAATGATGATATAAATAAAATAAAAGCAGATCTGACAATTTATTATAATTTCCCAGAGCCATCCGTTTATTTTTTTACGGTAGTATTACTGTTTAGACTACTCAAAAGATTTCGGTCGGGTTGGCTGTGTTTAAAGTTTTATACTTATATACTTAAACCTCACACTGTGTAGACAGGCCCGTAGAACGCGGGGGGGGGGGGGACCAGGGGGTGGACCCCAACTTTTTCAGAGTATAGTATTTGCTATAGTAAATTTTCATTTAGATGCTGGTTGCCCCCCCCCCCTTTTTAGAGCACTGGCAAATTCCAGGTTTGGACAGTTAATTAGTAATTAGTTTTTTTTTTGCTTATCAGATTAATTTGGGAATTTGCCCCCCCCCCCACTTTTTGGTCATTTTATTTGGGGGGGGGGGATGCCTCTCCACTTTTTTGAAACCATCGCTACGGGCCTTCTAGATCTGAAGTTTCATGGATTTTGGTTTGTCCCCTAGAGGGATGTTCGTTTATTTTTTTTAAAAATGCAATGAGAACCTAGCCAGGACTTTAATTACTCTTAGAAACCACCCCTGCAAATCAAATCTGAATATTTTATACTTCTAATAGAATAATCATGAATAATATTTAAAACTGCTCGTCAGAGATTATTCAACAACCCTTTTTTTGTAAACAGGTAAAGTCCTATGTACAACCGTCATACAACATTCCTTTGCAATTCGCTAACTTAAAATTTTAAATTAATAAATACTTGTATATAACTTTGAACTATAATGGAGATAAACAGATAAAATCAGCTATATCTACCCAGGCCGAAGTTAATTTCATAGACATGTACGCAATTACCTGCATTAACAGTCTGTGGACATGTCAGACGGGTATTGTTAGCGACTATGAATACATCTCACTCTCGCATACCCGCTTTCCACGTGACGTACAAACTTCACAAGATCCAAAAGTAGGCGGATCTAAGATCTAACACCTGGTCACATATTCCCACTGTGAGGATATGAAATGGCTCATGACATACGTATAGACATCATGATGATATTTAAGGAAATGAATTGAAGTTTGTAACTTCGTAAAATAGATCGAACACACTATTATAACACACTGTTCATGCATATCATCAAGATACTTGCGTAAATATTTATGGAGTTAAGTTGTTGTCCGTATTCAGTAAGAAGTGGCTAGTACATGTAATTAATTAAATACATAAATTAAAGAAAAATAAACAAAAGAAAACTAAACAAAAATAAGAGGGGTCCATTCTTCAACCGAAAATAAAAAAAATTGCTTAAAATCCCAGGGTACATATTTTTGGGGGGTACTTAAAGCCAGACAATCTGAAAAAATGGGGATTTGGGGAGGCATGCTGAATTCGTACATTTATGTGAGAATTCAAAAGCAATTTTACAAAATCGTGTTTCTCTATATCCAAGGATTATCTTTCTTTATATGCTGTTTTTTTTATAATACATAAACCTAGAACCAACTCAATTCTCAAATATATGAAAGTACTATACGTAGAACTGTCGCCAAAGAATTGATTTCCTAACCACAGAAAAATAACAAATTTTCGGGGGGGGGGGGGGGGTCCTTTGACCCTTTTTTATGAAAATTAGTATTTACACGTCCTTTTTACAAACGAACACTGAAAATTATTGCATGGAGATTCTTGTACATGTATATACTGAATGAAGAAAAATATACTTTTTATTCACCAGTTAATTAAGAATGGAAGTACATGTGATATCCTAATGTACGCTAGTATAAACATTTGTTCTTGCAGGCACGTAGCACCACCGCCGCCCCCCCCCCCCCCCACACCACCACCAAAATGGGGGAGGGGGGGGTGGTTATACATAAGTTTAAACTTTAAGATCTAAACTTTTCATGTAACATAGATAAGATACCTGAAAAAAAAAACTTTGGCAACCAAAAACAAAGGGGGGGGGGGGTAAACTGTCTACACTCGAAAAACCTATTTTTAGGGGGTGGGGTTAAGATATTCGATAAGAAAAATGTCATTAACGTGGAAGAAATTGTCCATGCTGCAACAAAAATTTGGGAGGGGGGGGGGGGATTTAACCGGACTTTCAATGAAAAATTTCCATACTAAATTAACAGAAAAATTTTACTTTCGGAAAAAAGGGGTGGCACCCCCCCCCCCCCCTCCTCGATACTACGTGTTTGTCTTCCATCCCATGTAAGTCGACAGATGTAGAGCAAATGCTTGATGATTTCCACTCCTATTTACCTAATTATTTCCATCAATTGATATTTGCCATTGACACATCTTGGACCACTTCTTTATTTACCAGGGCAGGTATCTTAGATATACTTAGTATTCCCTCCTCCGACAGGTGCTCTTGGGAAGAAGTCAAACTTTGTCAAAAGTGGGCTTCTAACTTCACAATATAGGCTTTTTAAGCCAGTGAGAGTAATCTCCCTCATCAGAGGAACAAGATAGTTTTCATATGACGTATTTTCTCTCCGAGTTATTTCCCTTGGCCGCCATCTTGGTGGTCAACCTGGTAATTTTTCCTCTTTGTCTTAATAAATCTAAGAGAGTGTAGCAGAAATATTTTGGGGAAAATCTTTATAGAATAAAAATTATGAAATAAAGGAGGCTTTAACAAATGTATATTTTTCAGAAAAACAATGCTTCCTACCCCACAATGGCCAGTATAAAAAGTTAAAGTTGGTTGAATAATGAAGGAATATGAGCATGTTGACCTCCAATATGGCGGCCAACGGGAAATAACTCTTGCTAATTTGGGCCTACTGAAAACTATCTAATGTGGTTGTTTATTAGAGTTATTGCCCTTCTCATTCTCTTGGTATACCATTTAGAGTTGGCCTTATGAGTTTTAAATCTATTATTTAATCTTTTCAATTAATTAAATAAGTAAGGGCGGTAAAGGGGTCACCAGCTGATTAAGCAGGCAGTCTGTGGACCACCTTGAAGCCCCAAGTGTATCCAAGGCAAAGCCCCCCCCCCCCATTGTTGGAAACCCATGGTCTGTCTCTCTTCTCTTACGGGAGGTAAGATGGAAACATTTGTCATTGTGCTTCACAACCAGTGGATTATAGCAACAAACTTAAATTTAGACCAGAAAACAGAATAAAAATTTGGACCAATGGCCAGGAATGAATTATGTTGCTTTTCATTGTGTTCACATCACTGATTTCAGGAACAATTTGTAATACTCCACTGCATTAGCTCCTTAAGCTTAAATAACTTACTTATAAAAAGCCATAAGTATTTTTGTAAAATCTTTAATTCAATCACTGTATACATAACTGTTCAGTGTTATTCAATACTTATAAAACATAAAAACTAAAATTCATTAGGAAATTTCAAAAAAAGGATTGAAAAAAAAATACAACATACAAAATTGCATAGTTGAAGATGTTCAGCTTAAAATAACAATATTTGCTGAAAGGGGTGATCCTATTACATCAATTGCACTTAAGAGTAAGGGGGCATATTTTGAAATAGCACTTTATAATTTGAGGTCAATGATTCTCAAGGCACATCTCCAATATATATATCCCATAAAATCACAAAACTAATTAATCACAAAAAAAGTTTTCTTACCAAAAATAATATTGAAAATCTATTTCAGTGACATGTGGTTGCTGTTGAATGTAATGATTTATAAGAAAATATTTGAAAAAAATTAGGTGCTGAGCAATGGGTTGCAACACATGGTTGAAGTATTTGCTCTTGCTAGTTATCCATTCTTAAAATTATGGCAATGTATCTAGGCATGTGCTTATAACAAAGTATGTGTGTATAATGTCAACAATCTAATAAATATGCATTTCATGTTAATAAAATTTATTTTTCAGGCTGGGGAAAAATAAATTCCTTTCTTGCCTTCTTTTATGAAATAAAATATGATATCTTTTTTTTTTTTTAAAAAATACTTGTGAATGACTTTTTTTTTAATATGAAAAGAAAATTAACTGCATTTTTCAAATAAATGGAGCAACTTTGAAAAATGGTGGTATCTAACATGCAATGTTATAATGTTGTCACAACCATCAGACAAAAATATTTATCAAATATGATTTTAAAAAAATTGTATAAAATTAAAAACAAATTAATCATATGTACCAGACATAGAATACATATTCACAAAATAACAGATAAAGAAAAATGTAAGACAAACACATAAGAAAGTGTTTGATTATTTTACACTTCATCAACATTGGGCTGAAATTTTTCTATGAGCTGTCTCACCCAGCCTTTCATTATCACAAGATTCTCAATATCTGTGCTTAATTGATCAAGTCTACCCAGAGACATTGAATGTTTTTTGCCTCCCATTCCTTGACCACCTGACCACTGGTCACCAAAGGGTGGTGCTGACCTTTCACGCTTGTAATACCTTTCGGATGAAATATCCTCCATGCTAGCATTGACACTGCTTCTTGGTAGACTTAAACGCTGAGAGGTTCTACAGTCTTCACTCAGGAAACGTGATCGAAATGGACGTTCCAAGTGAAATTGAGCTGTGTTTTTCTGAGATGTCTGTCCACTGGGAAATGTGAGGGAGTTTCTTTGGTTAGCCCCTCTGTCTTGACTGATTGACCTACTTCTAAATGGTAATCTCTCGGTAGTCTGTTTAGTGCTAGACATTTTGGATGAAGGTTTACCGTCATCTTTTTGGCTTCCAGCTTTACCAGAAGTGATTGATGTTGATGACCAGTTACTGGAGGATTTTCTGTTCAGTTCATTCTCCATGATTGGACTTGCTGTCATACTGCGTGCTGGGGTGGAGCTCCGCCTAAAATCTCGACCGGGACTACTGGAGACACTGCGAACTGGAGTCGAACTTCGGCGGAGATCTCTCTCAATACTGTTTGGTCTAGAGCAGCTTTGTGACCTCCTTGTCTGCTTCTCGAGGCTCTCCATTCTTTGTCTTATAATTGTTCCTGGCTCTCGGTGGCGAACTCTCACCGTTTCTGTGGATTTTGAATGATATTGCTCTTCAAGTTCTTTCACAAACTGTTTTACTGGCAGTCTCTTTTTCCGACCTTCTCTTTCAAAAGCTGGTTCCACTGGACTCCTGATAGGAGACTCCTTCTCATATTTGACTTCTGGGGATAACTCGGTTGTGTCAATATCACAGAAAACAGCAGAATCACGAAACACCTCTGTGTCATTGAAAGCCATAGAGAGTCTTTTTTCATAAAAACTATCTGCTCTTGTAAGATTTGTTCTTTTTGGCAGATCTCTACAGCTTGTCTCTTCTTCACTTTGAATTGAATATGCTGAATCACATTGCTTTAAATTCACCGGTTCATCATGTAAAGTTTCTGCTCTCACAGACACAGAAACACTGTTGCGGCTGTGAGACTCAGGGGAAGCTTTGGAGAGGTTAGGAAATTCTGCATATAGGGGTTCCTGATGAGCCATCCTTGATCCAATGGTAGCACTTCCTAACTCTCCTGCATGTAAAACTGTCTGTAGATCTGGGAGGGGCTCCTTTTTTGGACTGCTAAACCACGTATTCAACGACCATATGCTAGCTTTATTGTCCTTGTCAGATTCAGTAATCACCTCAGGCACTGTATTGTCATAGGAACCAGACCGACGGTTTAGGTTTTCTTTCCCATGGGTTTTAAGTTTCAAAGAATCAACAATACTATCAGAACTTTGGTTGTCTGTCAGACTTTCAGAGCTTTCATAAGATGAGCCTGAAATGGTGGATGCGTAAGAAAACCTATTTGAGGATTCTTTGCTGCTGTCATTCAAGTTCGGCACAGGGAACCTCTGTTGAGAGCTGATGGTAATGTTGGAGTCAGATCTTTTCAAATAATCCTCCATTTCGGCCACAAGTTTCTCATGATCATTTAAGTTAATATTGAAAGACTGGGGTCTTGCTCCTTGGACCCTTTCCACATTGTTAGCACAAGGTGTGGAATAGGATCTAGAAATTTTTGCATGAGATGGTTCATCCACTTTTCTCACTATCACAGGAAGAGAAGAAAGGAAATGAGCATCTTCTTCCAATGGTGTATCATGGGAAATATTTTGAATTTGATCACAGAATCTTGGTGAATTAAAGTACTTGCTTCTCCAAGAATCACCATATGAATCTATTTCATTGGAATCAGCAGTAGTATAAGCACCATAGATGTATGAAAGAGGGTACGGACTCTTTTGTGAAGGAGTACTCGTGAGAGACTGTTGGTCCACTCCCCTTGAGGGTATTGTGGATGAGTAACTTCCTTGATACTTCTGAGATCCTTGGGAATTTGATGATTGATTGTTGTTTCTGACAGAAATCTCTTTTTCTGATGAAGGGATTAAAGATTGTAAGGTTGGTTCAGTAGCACTTTGGGTTAACACAGGATTAGGAGCACTAAGTGTGTCATCAAAGGATTTAGATCGGGAATGAGATGCAAGATGTTCACTATCTGGCTTTAGAGAAGCTTCCAGATGAGGCACACTTCCCTTAGGAAATCCAGACAGTGGCAGTGAGTTTCTGTTAGCATAAACAATCCAGTCAAAATTTTGTGAATCTTCGTCTACCTCAAAGTCCACAGACCGAGACCTCTGGTGAGATTTCTTTTTGGCGGGGGATCGTTTAAGTCTGTACTGTCCGCCAGAGGAGGCACTTGTGGTCAGTATGTCCTCAGTAGATGCTTTAGGATTCACAACCCAAGGGTCCTCATTGTCTTTCTCAACAGACACTTGTGATTTTTGCTGAGTTTGAAAGACACTGCTCACTGACAGAGGTTTGGTCAGTGATATTGTTCGGGGGTAAATCTTAGGAGACCTATCTGGTGAGGTTTCAGCTGATTTCTTCAAGTAAGAGTCATGAAAGGCAGTCACTGATTTACTCTCCTGTTTCAAGTTCTGCGAATCCTCCAAGTTTTCTTTATTTCTACTGAAGTATTGCTTGATATCTATTACTTTTTTGGAAGGACTCCCAAGGTTAAAACTATTACTACTCAACCTTCGGGAAGATTGCCTGTCCTCTACTTTGGAGTTGGGTCTATTAGTAAAGGGTGATAAGGGTTTTGTCAATGCTGGCATGCTGCAGTATCTTTGGTCAAGAGTTGAATTGTCTGACCTAAACTCTCCATCTTGAGATGGGGGAGGTAACTCCTCTTGCTGATGCACTGAAGGGGCGTCTGGTAATGATGATGAGGAATGGCTTGCTAAAACATTTGTAAGTAGAGGATTCAGTCGAGTTGCCAGTCGAAAACTCTTTGTTCTCTTTGTGGGGGAGGTTTCTGTTGTCCCATTTTTGGTTTCACTCAGTTTTTCATCACTATAATCTACTGAGGTAAGAGGCTGCCGTCTGACAGCTGTGCGAAAGCTAGTACTTCGACTCACTGGGGAGGAATTTTCACGTTTCAATGGCATCTTGTTTGTGAAATTTTCTTCATCATTTTTACTTCCAAGCATCTAAAAATACAACAAAAATTTTAGCATTCATAAATAAAAAATAATAAACAATTCATATAAAATAAAAATCGAAGACACATTCTTTAAATTTTAATCCTCACAAAAATTTCAATGCTTAATGTCCCATGTTCCAATCAACTTGAACCCCCTGATGCCTAAACTCCCAGTAAAGGGTTTAAGTTTTAAGTTACCGGAGAAGAGTGTTCACGTTGTAAGGATGTTTTGCTTGTGGCATTTTCCTGATTTTCTTTGCTTCCATTTACCTGAAAAAAAAAAGTAGAAAATTTAAAATCTGACTGGTTAAGTAAAAAACACTTCCAGAAAACATCTCTATTTCAAAATTTTATATGTTTGAAAATAAAAAAGACAAAAAAAACAAAAACAAAACAAAATACAGATGTATCACATAAAAATTAGCAGGTAAATGAAACTGAAATCATACATTTATTCTAAGAATAATTTTTTTTATTCAAAAATTATTAGCATTAATTGCTTTATTTATGTTAATTCAACGTGGATTTTCATCCCTGACAATTTACCTTTATTTGATTATTTCCAGAATCTTGCTGCTTGGCTGGTGAGGAGGCAAATTTTCTTCTCTCAGTTGGAGACTGTAAATGTAAAATATTTGTGTATTTGGCAAATCATTTTCTTCTGTTTATATTTTGATTCTCCAGGTTAAGTTTCACTGTTTTTGTTAATTCCACATAGAATTAAATTTCATTAGATTGAGAAGTAAAATTTCATATTCTGATTTCATATAAATTAACTTAATGATTTAGAGACTGTGAAAAGTAAATACATCAATTTTTAAAATGTTTCCTGAGGAAGAGTTATTCCCCTTAAAATCTGAGCACTAGTTTAATACTCACTGTCCTGGGGCTCTCAGACTCATTGCGTTTTTGGTTTCTCCTGGCTCTCTGAGGTTTTAGGATGTCAGACAGAATATTTCCCCCCGACTTCCTCCTCAGTCTCTGTCGCCTCTCCAAATACTCGGGGGCATTCTGATGATGGAACTTCTGGGGAGTCCCAGAGTCCACATTTTCTATAGGAAGACAGAGATTATGTTATGGCATATGCAAGTACAAATTATAAATAACAAGCAAATAAATAGAAGTCTGAATTTATTAAATAACTTCATGTAAAAATAAGTACCACTAATTAGGATTAATTAATATTACAATTTTACATAATGATGTCAAATGATAAATTTTCTTGTGTTTTCATAAATCCTTTTTTTCTCCCAAGAAAATTGCATATTCCTAAATATAATTCCATGTGAACACATTTATAAAAGATGAAAAATTGTATACATATGACTTGTTGGTACTTGTCTATTGTATAATTCGAAAAAGACCACAAATTGTGAATTAAAAGTTTTGAAGGAGCACAGTACGAATGTGACATACCCTCTTGTTTACTTTTGCCCAGCTGCATCACTAGCCCTTTGACCTTTTCTGGAATTTTCTCTTTGTAGCTCTCCAAAATCAGGCGCTTGATTTCTTGACACCATTTACGCTTCTGATCCAGGTTTCTGGCCTATGAAAGATGAAAAACAGACATATACATTTTGCAGCTATTTTACCACACCCAGATAATTCATACACTTAAAACTTCTTAAAACAAATCTCTTCATGAAGAATATGAGTATGATCTATTAATATTATTCAAAAATTGAATTTACCTGTAGAGTGTGCTGTCCTCTGGGGTTATCAAAGGGAATCACCTGAAAACTGAGGGGCTCCTTAGGGACACTCTCCACTAACATTAGATTAGAGCACTGTAATAGAAATATACAACCCATGACACATTTTCTTACTACGTACAGTATAATTTGGTTATTAAAAAAACTCTTTTATAAGGAAATCTCGCTTATAAGTAATTTTTTTTTATAAAATATAAATCCCTTAGATGACTTTTCACTATGTTTCTTATACAGTTATAAGGTTTCTCAGTTATATGGAAGCAAAATCCGAGGTCCCAGTGACTTCCTTATAATCGAGTTTTACTGTACATTCTTTGAAGTATAAATTGTCAGTAACTAAAGACAGACATACCAAAATGAAGACTTTGCAGCTCAGCATGGAGTCCTCTTTCCTTTTGGCAATGACGACACCTTTCTCAAACAAGAAGACCTGTCTAGATGTTTTGGCACCATATACATGGAAAGCCCCCTGAATTACACAGAAGCATGGAACTGTCTTTTCACACATAATTATTCAGACTTTTTAAAATATATTCTCTCATGCTTCACACTCATTAAAATAAAAAACAAATCCTGTCCCATTCATGAAATAAATTCCATATCCATGTGACTACAAAACATTGAATATTCCCTCCATTTACTGAAAAGACAAGACTAGAGAAGACAACTCACTTCTAAGACAAGTTCCCCAAGAGTGGTTAGATCCTCCCCATCATATTCCTCTAGTGTACTCTGAATTTCCTGGACCCGTACTGCATGTTCATGTTTGCGCTTCATTTCATTGATGTGCTGAGCACGCCCCGTCATCTGCTCCAGAGCGTGAACTACTACATCATATCCCTCCTCTGTCTTGTCAAAGTTCTTCACAATGTTCTAAAGAAAAAACAACAGAGTTTTAAAGCTGAGAAAAGTATGCCAAATAGATTTTTACAGCCCTTGGTTAGAGGAAGGGAAGGATAGGTCCAATAGATATTTATATCCCTTGGCTAGAAATAAGGTAAGACAGGGTAGGCCAAAGAGACTTGGGGGGGGGGGGGGGTGTTAGACTCTAAGTGAGAAAGGTAGAAATTGAGATTTACTACATCAAAAGGACATCACAGTCAACTTGAAGGAACAGCATGAAATGATCTGTTTTCAGAAAGAAAGAGAAAATAAAGTGATCTGGTGAATCATAATCATGATCAAAAAATTTAAAAATGTACATTTAAGTGAAAATCTTTCTGGTGTGTTTGACATTATTAAATTATCTATTCCATAAAAAATATGTCCTTCTTTATCTGCATTATTACATGTAAGTGTGTAAATAACATAATATTGTATTTGTATTTCATAAATATATCAGCATCTCCTATTGGCAGGAAATATCACAAAGGAAAAAAAACATCCGTATATACTTTAAAAAGAAAAAATATTCCTTGTGTTCATGATTGATCTTAATATAGCACCAAGTGGATAAATGGCCTCATCCATTAAAGACAACTGAGGAAAGGTAGAGGACCTAAAAATCTCCAAAGGATCATCAGATCAAACATATACGTATATGTGTCATTGTGAGTGTTCTTAACAAACTACATACAAGCCTTCCTTACAATCAATTACGGACCAAAAGTCAATACCTGAACCCTTTGATTCAATGACTGCGCAGTTATACATCCAAGCTGTTTGTCAAGGATTTCTTTGTATTGTAATACTATATATGTGGGCCATTGACCTCACTATAGCTCTGAATTTTAAATGAATGATCTGATACAGTCCCAGGGACCTCGTTTACAAGTTATATATCCATTTCTACTGACATAGGTGACTGACTTACAAATGGTCAAGTATTTGTATTGCACTGGATGATCGGGTATATCTTTTTTCGTCTTTTGAAAAATATGACAGACAGTACTGCCATTTAATACCCTCCTTTCTGATTTTGCAATGAATGAAGTTAAACCCTTGTATATGTTCGGAGAACTTTAACCAGATTTGTAATACAAAAAGCTTCATAGAATTTTTTTGTCTCAACAATACAGACATTTTCTTAAAGGCTAACTTAATACTTCAAAATCTTTACAATTTCCTAATAGAGAAAATTAATTCCATTCACAATATGGAGACAAAAATAGTTGAAATGGTACACCTCTTATAGACTGTGAGAATACTTTTCACTACCAAATATACATATTTATACACCGATACTTAATACTCCATTTATTCATTAACATGCGATATAATGTGGATAGTGAGGATTCAATATATGGGTGACAGATACATGATGCCTTGATACTAACATGCAACAGTAGATGGTATTTGAGGATTCTCTGCACAGGTTTAAGGAGGTAGGCCCCCAATGGAAGGCTATGCTTGAGATGCAGCTGGAGGGTCTTAAAGATTTCGGATAAATCCACATCCTTCATGACCCGGGTCAAAATTTCCACAGCGCTGCAAAAATAAGAGACGTATATAAGTTGTTTATGTATTTTTAGGAATACAGGGAAAATATTCTGTTTCAGAATTAGCATATTTTTTTGAAAATTTATATACAGGAGAAATGATCTGTAGCTAAGGTCTATGTAATAAAATTAGATATCTCTTCCTCTTTTCAATGCAAGCATTAACCACAAAATACAATTAAAAACTTCTCTCAAACCTCACTTACATATATATCAGCAAAAGTGAGAAAAGGCTTTTATTGTGTCAAACGAACTAGAAACGGAATGTAAATTGTCATACTGAAGGATAATGCGCTTCACAATGACATCTGAATAAATCCTTACAGCAAAAGAAAAAAATCCTTAAAGAAAGAAAATTTCCATCATTTATATACAAAAAAAAATTGTTTTCTTGTACCTGGGGTAATTTGTGCAGTATTCTGTATACACAGAAAAGCCATCATTATTCCGGACAAAGCATTCTGCAATCTGTGCTGCATTGTCTTCACAGCTCTCCAACTCCACCAGAAATCGCCTTAAATTAAATTCACAAAAATCTCTCATCCAAGGAATTAACTTAATTAAATTGCTCTACAGTAAGTAAAATCTGGTAGAACTGAAACCCGATCATTGATTCTAATTTTGTCTGACAAATGTCAGGATTTGGTGTCTTACCCACTGAACTCGTAAATCTGTAACAGATTCCCAAATAGACGTTCCTTGTCTTCTGATGAAAGACGGAGATGTGTTGAACATTTTAGATATTTCATGTATCCCTGAAGAAAAAATATGAAATCATTTTAAGACTTCTTAATGATCATAATCTTTAAAAAAAATCTATGTGTTCTTTACTGCTAATGGAGTTTTAAGACATATATCTCATTGACAATAACATTTCTCAATTATTTAGTCTATCATACAATAAAAAAATACACCATATAAAAATGAAATTTATAACTACAGTGTACATGCTTCAATAGACATGTAATTGAGCATTAACAAAATGTTTTGAAAGAGACTTGGGTCTATATACAAAGGGTCTTCCTGTTAGGGAATGAAATGAAAATTCCCATTTCTAGAAGCTTTTTAACCAAATTTGTAAAATATAAATCTACAAAATTTACATATGATGCTTTTTCCTTTTCACTCATCATATAGCTGCTATTTGTGGAATTTGGCTAAAAATACTTTATATGAATAGTATGTTGTTTTGATAGTTGCTTGAGGATGTGAGATTAAAATAAATTTGTATATTTCACAATTTACAGCATACCAGCTGTCTCTGTTTACAGACACTCTAACACACCTTTAATCTTACCTTACGGCATTACTGAATTACTCTTTGCAATTAAAGTTCTGGTGATCATTTAATATGTAAACAACTGCTGCACTTAGAATAATTTAATTCTTTTAAAAAATTAAAAATCCACAAACCTGTCTGCATTTAATTTTAATTTTCTAATTAAGTCTATATTGTTTATTATACATGTACTGGTGTATTCATTTAGACACAAAAAATTGTGGTTTAATTTAGCATTATGTGAATTTGACTTGATTGTCAAGACTAGGCCAATATCATTATGAATCTTCAAACCTTTATTTGAAAATACAACCACACAATAAATATGTGGGAGTGTCTGGTTTTTCATACATTATGACAGACAAAGGTTTTATCATTCTAATGTCACACCTAGGCATTAAAAAGTTGTTGCACCCTTCACACCTGAAATCAAAGCGATCGAGTTTAAGCAGTCATAGTAACTGCTACTTTTCCCACTTGTCGAACAATCGCAGGAAACTGAATCATATTTAAAACTCCGAGCATAATCCATGGAGCCTTTAATCTGAGTACATCTTGATTTTAGTTGTGACACAATGTCTGCATGTCGCACAGCAGGAAGTATGAATTTTCTCAAATGTTCAAGTCATAAAATATGCCTTGAAGACATCATTAATATTTCATGTGAAAGTGCAGTATATATTTATAATGTTTTGTTTACGGTAAAGTACAACACGAAATTTCAAATTTTTACAAAGTGAAACACCTTAAAAATAGCTCCAAAAAGCAGTCTATGCCATAAACATTTTATCAAACATGAAATGTAGCCAGTAAAATTTGTATCATATTATTTTGCCTGTATAGAAACTGTGAGTTTCAAGTGACAGATCATATATTTGTTGCACTTTTGTAAGGTATCTATGATGTTGGTAAATTCAAAATCCCCATGCAAACTCCAATCCCTTCCACCTGTCAAATTTCCACAGGTGTTGTTCGTAAATTACTTCTAAACATCAGTGTGTGACCATGAATGAAGTTTATATCAAACCCTGAACATGTAGACTGATATGCTAATACCCTTCACATTCCTGAGTATGAGAGCAATCACTCCATTCAAAGTTGTCTTTTTTTTTATATACCCTTATCTGAATGTCTTGACCTTGAAAGAGGGTAAAAAACACAAAAATAGAGACTAGGCCACTGGGGCACAGTCAATATGAACCTTATTCTTTGGAAGTACAATGTACAGTCAAACCACATTAACTCAAACTCATGGGACTGAGATATCTGAGGGTTTGAGATATTGAGGTTACAAAGCACAAAGAAAAAGTGGTTGGGACTTCCAGTTAATTACTCACTTCAATATATCTCGGCCATCTTAAAAAAGAATGATTGCTTGCCCTAGTCTCCTGACTCAGGATAAAAAATTCGGGTAGGAGGGGCAATTTTTTTAAAATATGAGCTTAATTAGATTAATGATAGATACCCAGTAATTTAATTTAATTTTGGTTGTAATGCGTCATTTGATTAGGTAAAAGAATTAGTTTACTTGTATAACCTGTGTTGCCTTGCATCAAAAAAGTATCAATCTACTTGATGTAACATTTAAAATATGCACAATTTGAAGGCATTTTTGAAGGTGAAATTGTCTTATTTTCTACACTTAATGATGGAAAATTAAATTATAAGGAATGAGTTTAATAGCTACTCAATTATACTGGTATAACCTGGGTTGGAACAGTTTACGCTTTTTTATAAACTGCCTTGTGGTTTATAAAGCGTAATCTGCCCCAACCCAGGTTAATATACAGTATAACTTGGATAGCTGCTTAATTCGTTCCTTAAATAATGATCAAGTAGTTGCAGATATAAAATTAAAATATTAATTGTTTACAGGATAAAAGAAATCTAAATATATATTAAAAAAAGGTTTTTAAAAAGTTTTGAGTTGGGCCGTTTTCAGTCAATAAGTTGGGAGAGGGCAAACAATTTTTTAAAGATGGCTCTATGGTATTCAAGACATAGATACGTGTAATTGAGAAAATAAACGTCAACTATATTAGAATAGTCAATAGTACTTTCTGTAATTCTACAAACATTTACAGAGTTACAGATTTTTGGATGGTACATGCTTAAATCTGACTGGAGTTTGTCTTAAAATGCAGTATCTAGATAAGTTTTCATATGGTCTCCCTAATAAAAAGGATCCCCCCCCCCCTCAGTCTTACCAATTTAAGTCCAGCAGATTTATCACAAAGTGAGAATACATTTACGAAGTCATCGCCATCTGTTGCATTCTCGTTATAGGAACTTATTCAGTACTTCCTACGACTGTTTACCTTGAATAATGAAAAATAAACAGGAGGGATCTTGGGCCTTAAATTACAACTTAAGTTTCTTTATGTCTGAATGATTACATGATAATCCTGACTGTGAATGATTCTGAGAAGCAGTAAAGTATTATATATACTGGTTCATCACAGATTGATCATTTTGTAATAGGATTGTGGGTTGGTTTGCCATATGCTTCAATTGAAATTTGCCAAAAAAGCAACCATATCCCATTGAATCATGCACATGTATTGTTCTTAAAATAAATGCTTAATACTCAGCAAAAGAAAAAAAAACAAAAGTCAAGAAAAGTTTTGATAGAACCTCAATGAGGTCCCCAACAGGATACAAAATTGTGACCTTAATTTGATTTTACATTAAGAAAAGGGTCTCGTCACAGGTACAAGACAAAAAAATTATATCTTAGCAATTTATTTCTTTATGGTACATTCAACATGTTCAATCGATAGCTTTATGCATTATGTGAAATGATATTGATTGACTATCTACATACCTGTATAATCTCATTAAGGCTAGAGACATAGGTCCTCTCGGTGTCCACAATCTCGGAGATCACCCTCTGGACTCGAGTGACATACTTAGTGGGCGAGTCCGGTGGTCTGGACTGGGATGTGGGAGTATTTTGTGAGGGTTGCAGAACGGAGGATGCATTGTCTACTGAGACAACTGATGAACACTCGGATGCTGAAATACTTGGAGAACTGTGAGAGGAAGGAAGTCTTAGGGAATTCTGGGATACTGAGACAGATTTTGAGTTTTCGGTTGACACTGTTTCTATGGCAGTCTTAGTAGTCTGAGGTGAGGTGTCTTCTGAAGACTCTGGTCCCACTTCTTGGTCAACAAACACTCCATGAGACTGGTTTCGAGAAATCACAAATTTGCAAGTGTCTACTACCTCCTCTTCATTTTTGTTTGGAGATAAATCACTCACTGAAATATCTGGTGAACTTGCGATAGATTTTTCTTGGATCATCGACTGGTCCCCTTTTTCATCATCGATGTATAGAATATGCTCCAGTTTTGAAGAACTGCTGTCTATGGAACACAAATTTGGTTTTTTAATCACATGATGCGAGAGAGACGAGGAGGAAGAAGATGACCCTGACCCAACACTCAAAGGTCGTTTTTTACATTCACTTGGGTCAAGGTCACTCCTCCCAGTTGGTGAAATTTTACCTTGACCTTCCAGCTCCATGATGGAGTCAGAGTCAGTTGTATCACATTCATTCGATATCACCTGAATTGCAATAGGATGTTCCTGATTGGATAAAATTGTATCATGTGATCCATTTTGGCTTTCTGATTGGTTAATTCCATCTGAATTTAAGTTGTTCTCTAAGGCTAGGCTGTCATAGATAGAAAGCAAAGAAGGAGCCAAGTCCAAGGATGAACCTGCAAAAAAAAAGAGAATGTGTATCATTCAGATGTCTGTAATAACGCACCAATTACAATGAAAGCATATTATGACAGATGTCTTTGATTTAAGCAACTGTTATGATGATGTGTTCTGCAGATAACCCAGTCAGAGCATGACAATTATTAAACAAACTTGAGCCATAGAAGCCAGTAAGACATGTAAAATATGATCATTTATCACACAAATGACTGCAGCAACTGTTGTTTCCTGAAAAATCTGCTTCCATTCACTTTATGCTTGGTCTACCTTAAGCATCTATAGCTTAGACTGCACATTTACAAGATACATATCTCTCAATACATTACGTTCCAATTTCTTGCACCCTTCACTTCATTTCCCTGCAACCTCATCTATGTGTAAATAAATGTCCCATAATAAAGTTCATGAATATGGAAAACAGCTCTATGTTTGTAAATTTAGATGTCTTCAAGGTCTCTCAGTTAATTTCTTCAAATTAAAAATGTACAAATATAATATTGTAACAATCCTTGCACAAATTCATTAAATTATTAGTTAATTAAAATTTCCATACTGTTATATCAAATTGTAACATTATATGATACCCACATCCCTCATTATACATGTTATATGTTTTTATGAACAAGGAAATGAAAATCTAGCTGACGGGGGGAATTTTATGGCGCACTGATGTGTGTGGCGGGGAGGGGTAATAAAGAATAAAACTAATGTTATCTACTGTACTACACTATGATAATTTCTTATAAATTGCTAAACTAATGAAAAAATCTGTATATAATTACTACGTTGATAGACAAGAACAGATTTTTACATTCCTTGGAATTGCAGTCTGACTTACTATATATCCTCATCTGGAACATTTAACGTGTTACACATTTTTCTTTCTATATAACTTAGTATCCTCCCAATATTTGAACTACATCCAGTTTCCTTGTGTTTACTCCCTTCATCAACAAGGAGGGACCGGACCTAAGAACATCAATGAATTTATAAATAAATTCAGAGCACTTAGGAACACTTGGCAGATGACCTCTATACAAACTTGGGTAAGTTATTAACCATGTACAAGTTAGAGTGGATGTATAGATATAAGTGGCCCCCACTCCCACATGTCCAGAAGTCGGCATCCACTCCAAAGAAACAGTCTATTTATATACCTAGAGGTCAATCCACCCAATTAATCTATGACCAGATACAAAGAGTACAGAGGTGCTCATACTAAATGAATGCACCTACATGTGTATTAACTTTAGTAAATACACTAAAATTAACTTACATTAAAATGGAAGAAAAACATTTAGTAAAATTTGTGAAATAGAGATCACCTAGCTTAATGATATTTACCCCAGATAAACAGGTTATGCTTAAAGTGCAAGTGTGTCATTCTTAAAAATATATTCATTGACAAAGTACATCTTATTTATTCCTATCTTCTCATAAAATCTGCATCTATCTTCTCACTGAAAACTGAATTTAACTTCTATACAGCCAGCATTTGATTTTCTGGCAATTTCATCAAATCAAAATTGGTCCGACACTAACCTTACATAAAGGGAGCATAGAGTGTAATCCCCTCCAGTATTTTTTTTCCCCTGTGTTTTTGGGAATCCAAATATTTCATATCTAATCTGTGTATAATTCATGAATATTAAATGGGTCAGCCCGACTGGAAATTTGACACAGAGCCGCCAATCTCAGATGTCATAAACTTTACCTTACTCTACCATAATAAATTAGTTTAACATGTCCTGGTGTGAAAACACCTATGAATCTGACCCTCGCCTTCAGGTAACGAAAACACAACTTTAAAAATCTTGTCTCCTTTACAGCTTCAATTATAAACCAAGAAAGATTTTTGAGTAAATTTACCCCATTAAATGACTCTAAGGCAATTTTACAAACTTCAGTGATACTTTGGGTATTCTAAGAATTTATGTCTTTTGAATGGGGATGGGTTAAAAGCTAAATAGCCAGGAAAGTTTATTACCATTTTACTCAACAGCCATTAATACACTCTGCCCTGACTGATGATATCGACATGCATATACATTCATAACTCATGCAATACATGTATTTATTTTTCAAGGTTCCCCCCAGACATGTTTACAAAATTTAACATGTGTGTTACATAACTTGTCCATTTGATTAAATTAACTTTTATTTTAACTCTTCCAAATACCTACTTAGATAAATATGATTAAGATGGATTTTACATACCAATGGAAATTATCAAAGTTTAATCTTGCAAGTTAATTGTAATAAATTTCAGTTCTAGACATATGCATTACTGTGAGGCAATCAATATCAAATAAAGTGCATGCATGTTTTCACTGAGCTCTGAATTGATATTTTTGTAACAGATCAAATACAAAAAACTAAGCTGAAGGACCCAAGGTAGATAACTATCTTTAAACTGGAGAACTTTGTGAAAAACATTTGAAGACTCGGTCTAGCCAAAAAAAAAGAAGTTCTAGGTTACCAAAGAATTCCTCCCAATGAAGCGAGTTCCTGACCAACTTTGCCTGTCCAGCACAATTTGTCAAATTAGCATTCGATGAAGCACAGTTTCCTCCCTTCATCCTGAGGACACTGGGTTGTCTCCCCTCTGAGACTCCAGGGGAGTTTGAATTTTCCACAAGTAACTCCTGCCTTACAAGCTGCACCCTTGAGCAGTAATCCATTGTCACTTAATTCTGACATCAAAACATCAGTTCTCCAGTCTTCTCTATATGCCACTCAAATTAGAATTAAATTTTTTGAAAGAATAAGAAAAAAGTTCTCTCTGTGAAAACAGACACACTACTGACAAGTGCTTTTAGGCCCCAAAGTGGATGTTTTTAAAATCTGATCGAGTTTCCAGTAATGATGGTGAATTAATCCACTCCTGACACTCGAACTGCCTCCCCGATCTCTTCTTCCCCCTGCTCTGGTTGTGTGTTACATATACAATATCCAGGTAAGAAAGCACTAAGCCTTATTTTCACTTTACCACAGACGTGTCTGGTGATTCAACATTCAATGATTAATTTCCCACCTGACGTAAAGTCCGTTACAATGGAAGACCTTTTTTTTTTTTTGTAGACTGTTAAAAGATAACGCTGGGACTTGTCAGAAGTGTGCCAGATTTTAAAGATAGAGCACAACAAAACTGTGACCGTCTCCACAATATTTGGGGGAAATCTGTCCAAAATTTGACCCTAGGTAACCTGTCTATTTATGTAAAACACCTCTTCAGTAAACACCTTCAAATATTGACTATAGGTGCTCTTTAGTTTAATACCCTCCCACATTGTTTATAACCCATAAATGCATGTGGATTTGCAGTCTATTTATAAGCTTAACATTGGTCATGTGTTTAAATTTGAATGTCGTAATATAAGATATAAAAAGAATGCTAAACATATGTACGTACATTATAAGCTAAAACTCCATTTTTAAGTCTAATTGCAATGGTTAGGTAGCTCTATTTCTTTGTATAAACATATATATTTCTTCTTGGACTGAAACTTAATGTCATTGACTGGAATTAAAAATCTTTTAATGCTAAATAATTAATCATGAAAATTAAAGCTATTCCCATTATTTTTCTCATCATTAAATTCTCTTCAGTGAAAGAAATAAAAAGTAAAATTAAGCACCGTTAAGTTCCATTATAAGACATTTTATAAAAGCATTACTGTACATTAATTTATTATTTTTAATTACTTTCTAAAAACTTAAATTTCACATATAAAAGATAACCCTTAAAACTGCCTACTTTGCGAGAAGAAATAAAAAATTAAAGCAAAATAGCCAGAGGCACAATCTGGGACAGAGAAATGAAGTTAAAGAGGAGGTAAAAAAAGAATGATGCCTTGTGTGTTGGAAATGATCAATTCCCTTGCAGTGATGTGCAATTTATAGCCCAGATGTGCTATAACTGTATATAATTATGTGGTAGAGTCTCCCCTGCAATTCCTGTTCTTTGTATGGCACAGAGGAGTCTAAGTATTTCTTCAGACAGAGACACATTATTAGTCACAGTCTATCTGCAATTTCCCCCTCTTTCTCCAGGGGGGTGGATCGTAGAGGTGTGGTTCCTTTGAACTCAGTCAAGCTAAGATGATGGAAGCAGGTTTCCTGCTACATCTGCCAAAATGTTTTCATAATTCCGGAATGCATAAAAAAATATTCAAATATCACTTATATCATTAATAAAGCATTTACAGCACCAATGCCATGTGGCCAGCAGATTAACATGGGTTAGAGGAATCTATTTTTTATTTGTCTTTAAAAGATCTTTTTTATCTTTGAAGTCAAGATATTCTCTATATTTCCAGGTGTGTAAGCACTCTTCCTGACTTCATCTGTAACAGATCAGCAATTAGAGTTTGAGCCACACATTGTGAATGACACAACATTATATGCCTATATTTTACACAAATCAGATATTATGAAACCTGTGCAGGTAGAGCAAGGGGGGGGAGTCCCGATAAGCCAGCATTCCATAGTATGATTCATATAGCTCAGCGCAAGCTGTTGTAAGATAAACTTCTGACAGCAGATCCGAACTTGAAATATATGTATACAAACATTTCTCTCTTTTCTATCATACTTCATCAAAGTTGTGAATTCCGTATTCAAAGACAAAAAAAATGTCCAGCCAAGCATAAGAAAAACACAAGTCAAAGAACTCAAATAAAATGAACCGGTTTACCTGTCTGGTTGACATCTTCAAGGGCCCTATATGCAAAGAAATTGTAGTGTCATAACGAAAGTAACTTTTATTGTTCCCAGCTCATGTCAAACCTATTCCTATACAAGTGTCAGATTAACAACTAAACAATAACAAAATGAATGGGTTACATTACTGACCATGACGCTATAAGAAGCTGTGACGTTGATCTACCTGGGTCCAACCTGAGTTCCGAGGACCCCAAAGGTGTGTGTTATTTCACTGATGAATCAGTACCTATTGACAAGTCTGGGGCCCTGAGGCTCAATAAATTAGTCTGATCAAATTCAATACAACATTACCTGTGTCTACCTGGTAATTACACCTAGCTTGTCCCTGTTAATGCATAATAAACTGTGTCCCACTGCAATTTAATACACAGCTGTTTATGTACACTCAGGAAGCTCCAAGAACATATAGTGTCAACAAGGGCAATTACTCTTCTTTAAAAAAATCTAAAGTACAAGGACATTAAAAAACAACAATACACCTGGAAAAACATAACAGCTGACAACTCAAGAGGTGGCCACATGTAAATAAATTCAAATAAAATTACCTGATTACAACAATTGAAATAAGATCTCACTGACTTCCTACATTAATCCCTTAAAACCCCGATAACTTACACAAAAAGTCCACTAATCCAGGACTCGAGATCTCGCACTGCACAGGTAGGCATGTAGTCCCTGTCAATCATGATCATTGTCCATTTACGCTCCAATGGCTTAATCACAAATGTTATTTAAGAAAGTATTTGAAGTGCAAATACTGGCCATAAATGACACTTATATGTGAGATTATGTACAGTGGAGCCTTTTTGCACCATATAAATGCAGTCTGGAACTTGCATGACAGTTAATGTGTGTGCTTGCTTATTTTATCTCGAGTTCGATCAGGTAGAGCATCTTCTCATTAGAAGAAAAAATGTTGAAGAATGCTTATTATCTTTGAATGAAGTTATTTTGCTTTTCAGCACTATAGGATAACAGGTGAAGTATTGTCAGACAGGCTCTATGGAATCTGATCATATTACTTGTGTATCTTTAAACTGATTTATTTGTGCTGCAGTTTTATTCTCACTGCTTTTTCAGAAAAGATAAAAATATGAAATCAAACTATATGTATTGAAATTAATTTAGGTCAATCGCACTAAATTATTAGGGATGATAGAAAAAAAAACCCAAGAAAGTCTCAATAAGGAAATATTAGTTTTGAAAATATGAAATAGCGGTATCCACAAACCGACTACATGTAAAATGATGAGATGGTTTTCCATAGACGTGAAATTAGCAAGAGCTATTTCACATTGGTCACCACACTGATCAGACTTTTTCAATGTTTAAACCAATTTACACTTGTCAAACTGGCCACTGAGGTGTAGAGAACAGTTTTTTCCCCCTTGAATTTCACTTTCATAATTTTCATATTGTAGCCAACACCTTCAACGTGCTGGTCAAAAGGAATGTATCCGAGGGATGTACAATACACATCATACCTAAACTATCTATACAGTACTCTGGGGAATTTCTCTCTGCTAAAAAGACAAAATGTGTCCTTTGTAAAATTTTTCAAGTTCAACAATGTTTTGTCTAAAATTTTGTGCCTGCACATATGGTATACTAAACGATCTTGAATTTCTCTTTTGTTTCCATGTTCCATTAGAAAATTTTAACAACTACTGGTACTATAAAATTCCACTGTAAATGAGAAGAGGGTTGTTCTCTATAAATAGAAGGTTAAATTGTCCAAGACCATCACCAAGAGGGGTGCTTTGGGTGCAATCACAATCCCCTCCCCCCTCCCCTTTTGAAAAAAAAACACAAACGTATCACTTTTGAAACAAAATATAAGTTCATTATTTATCTGTTTAAAGTAATGCTGCTTGATTTTGTTTATTTTATATTTGAAAGAATGACTTCAAGAATGCACCAGAACCCACCAAAATGGTACCAATCCATAAACAAAAAATCTGGCTCAGATTAGGGGGTATATCCCTGGCAGACCTCCCACCCACCCCTTTCCAGAAACCTGGCAATGGCCGTGTTGTCCTACCTGAGTAGAGGGTTGTCCTCCCTCAAATTATCAATAAAAGATTAAAAGATAATTGAGAGGCTTACACCTGAAGACAGCCCTGGTAGGAGACAGATCTTCATCGCTGTACCAGTGACTTTCTCTGCTTTCTGTTCCAGATAATGTCTAGAAGAGAAAAAAAAATATATCAAAAGATCCTTCATTTCATCCATTTCCAAAACAGAGTTTCAGCTGTCATAGGGTCTCATCAAGATCTACCAGTATTAGTCTTCATACTTTTTTGACCACCCCTACACTTAGTCTATTTTATACTTTGAGAGCTAGGCTAATACATCATGAGATTCAACAAACCCCAGTGATCAGATTGTTCAATCCTCTATAAAAGAGGTATAACTCTTTATAATCATCAAAGGTGAAATCCTCAAAAAAAATTATTCTCTCAGTAATAGAAGTACATGTACACTATATTTTTTAGCATTTCTTTCGAAGCTAGGTCACTGTATTAGTGTATCACAAAACTTACATGTACATGTGTATTTTAAAAAATGTTCTCCTTTTAGCCCCTTAATAATTTTGTTTTAACTGAAATGTAATTAAATATATTTTTTTATTGCTGATATTATAGCCTTCTGCCCTCTGCCTTGACCTTACCGCCGACTTGTTAGTCCACACAAATCCTTTTCTGCGAATTGCCTGTCTCCGGTTTTTTCTCAAATCATTATCCATTTTAGATTTACTCTCCCATTGCTTTCGATAATTTATAGCTTTACTTCACGTAAATTCCTTATTTGAATATATCATCCATTACACTTAATCATAATTGTCTGTTTATGAATTTAAATAACAAAACAAATAATCACTCAAAAAGATACACTGAAAAAATCCAAGAATAATTTATAATTTTCATTATCGCCAACAGAACACTATTCGAATCACATTAAACAAAGATCC